GGAAAATGTCGGTCCAATTTGCCATTGTTTATTCACAAATCTGCTGGGAAGACAATTACTCCTATTCAACAAAAAGCCCTGGACCCTTCACTCACGGAAAATTAAAGACTTTCTAACGTCTGGAGGCCTACAGGAGAGCTAATGTCACTTCCTATCATCTCTTTCGTATTTTTACGGAGGAAATTCCAATAAAAAAATTGATCAAGCCTCCCACGGGCTGAACTATCAACCACACAGCAAGACTGATCCATCTGCTTTGCTGAATCCTCTTCCAAATGCGCAAAACAACTGAATGAAAGGCAAAATGCATTGTTTCTTGCCATACACCACCGTGATGCATTGCGAGAAACATAAACACTGACGTCTCAAAAGATCGTCCTATAGAGAGCTGTGATTGGACCGTTACGGAGCCATTCCCATCTTGCTCAGTTGCACTAAAGTCCCACCCACCTGACTGATGAAGCACTGTGATTGGACGGCTATATAGATGTAAGTGAAAGGGGCAGTCCGACATTACATCATTAAAGAAGATGCAAACCAAACTGATAGAGTGCTGTGATTGGCCAGCAGGTAGACTGACCAGGGGCCTCATTTATCAAGCTTGCTTACGCACAAAACGGGGTCGGAAAACTGCGCAAGCAACTTTCCACGCAAACTTTGGGATTTATGAAAGAAAACTTAGCGGAAAAATGTGCGCAATTTTAAGTTGACTAAGGACCTGGCTTACGCACATTTTGGACATGGAGAGCACCTGCAGTGCTGCTGCTGAGAAGGATACAATTATGAAATCCTGCAGCATTATCACTTGTACTGCTTTGTTTTCACACAGAACAAGACCCCACACGCGCGCGCACATACACACACATACCTGCACACTCACACACACACACACACACACACACACACACACACACACACACACACACACACACACACACACACACACACACACACAGCCTGAAGCGCAGAATGCGGAATGCAGAAATCAGCAGGGGGACAGATTGAGACAGAATGTCATGCATCTGTGACAGTGAGTGCGTTTACATGCAGCCAGTAACCCTTTTAAAACCCGAATATTCACAATAACCCGGTTCCGCACGGCCATGTAAACACCGCCAAAAACCTGGATATGCTCACGACCGGGTTTTTAAAAACCCGGTTACTACACCTGAGGTAACCCTTTTCTAACCCGAATGTTTGGTCGTGTAAACGCACATCGGGATATCCCCATCAAAGCATGTGTTCTGCGCATGCTCTGTTCGCAAGGAATCTTGGTCTTTTGAGTAGCGAGACGTCTTGTATGCGCCAGAACACCGTAAGTAAACAACAATTTGGGAGCAACATGGCGAGTCGCGGCACAGCACCACACTTTTGGAGTGACGAGGAAACTAAAGCGCATACAAACGCAGTCGCTATCTCTTCCGAACTGGGAAACATGTTGTTGTTTTCACGGATACCGGAACAAGAAGAACCGGAAATGACGCATATTGTGTCTGGACGTAGTCCATACGTCCTGACACTACCCCAACGTCCGCATTTATATCGGGTTATGCAAGTGTAACCCGGGTTAAAATATGCATAAATAGTAAAAGATAAGTAAAGTCTAAGAATATAAATATCAAAGAGTAAAATTCATTTGTTCAATTTTCTTGTATATTAAAAATATCAAAGTTCATGTCAAATGGGTAAAAACATGTTTGCATTGTTTAAAATAAGTTATCTTTCTTTTATTGTGAATTGCTTGTGGAAACTGTAATTTCCTACGGGGAGATGGCTGTGAAGGTAACACAGGGGGAGAAGGAAAAAAAAGGGGGAAGAAGGAGAGCGCGAGGAGAGAGGGTGGTTGTGCGTGAGTTTCACGGAGTATCCGAGAGGTTAGCTTGCTTTTATGTACTAGTGATAGGTGTGTTTTGACTTTTTGAAAAGATAAGTCACAGTGTCGGTAAGCTAGTGACATAACATGTAAAGTTTCAGCGTGAGTCTGCTGGACTGTGTGTTTGTTTACTGCGGCCGTGCACGCATTGAGTTAAAGTGAGGCTAACACAGCCATTCGCTAATAAGGACTACTGTAGACTGCCGTTTCGCTAAAGTTGTGAAACTTAAACAAGCTGCAGAGGATCGTTACCGAACTGGATAGCAACAGACAGACCCCAGATAGTCACTCTGAGTGCCCGCGTCACTCTGAGTACCTCTGGCAATGTGGGAAGCTAAAAGCAAGTAGCTTGTGGAGCACAGTGGAGATCACGGACCTTCCTCATCTGTGGCTACTGCGTTCAGAGCGGAGTGCTTTTGAAGGAGCTTAAGACAACCTGTTGCCTGGATTAATCTGGTGGGAATTGCACGTTTCACAAGGTACTGAGTTTATTTATTTATTTTTTGCTGTTGAGTGAAGAACTTCCAGTTTGGAGATCGTTTTGGATTTATACTGGAGCAATACAGGCCTGCAACGTAGGGTTTATCTCTGCCGGCTTTAAGTTTAGTTTGGGACTATAATTGTTTTATCACTGGTGGTTTACACTGTGTATGTGGGGATTCTGTGTACACATGGGTAAATTGCTGTGGGTGTTTTGCTTTGCCTGAATACTGAAACCTGCCATTTTATTATTTTATTGTTTTCATTGTTTGGTAAATTAAAGGAGGGTTACATTGCTCTACTTTACATGGTGTATGATATGATTTACTGCACTGTAGACACTAGTGTACATGTTCACGTGTAGTGCCACTGTTAAGGAATAAGCTTCATTGATCTCAGACACAAAAGAGAAGTTAATTTAAGAATATCGTACGAGAGTACACTAGAAAAAGAACCCAAAGCCCATTTATTTAATGGTATTGAGTAAATGAGGGCTACACAAGTTAGGGGTAACTCTTTATATTTATGCTTGTAAACAGGTTATTCTGATCAACTCAGAAACCCGAATACCGACCTTAACCCGATCATAACCCGGATATTGGCTGCATGTAAACGTAGTGAGTGTGTGTCCTGTCACTGTGACCCAATTGATCATGCACCCTGGCTAGTTGAACAGGGGAGATCTCTGTTTAGCTAACTGGTTAGCACGCATTACTTTCACCCAGGAGTCTGGGGATCAAATCCCAATTGGACCATTTATTTTTTATATCCGCCACAGATCTCTCTGAAGAATTCACAACATTGACGGCTTCAGCAACGCTGTGCCACTCCGTGGATTTTCTCTTATTTGTTTTGCAAAAGTACTTCCTTTCATTTCTCCACCTCACCCACAAGTACCTCAATTTCTGCTTCTGTGAAATTGAGCTTCCTTGATCTGCCTTGATCTACGGTCGCCATATCATTGGCGGAGCGCTGCAAGAGCCGGCTTATGTATATGCATGAGATCCACAAGGCGCTTTGCATTGACTATTTATGGCAGTAAGTGGGCGTGGTGAGGGCGGGATGTGACTAAAATGCAGCTGAGAAACATTCTCGTTAGTCTCCGATTTATGAAGCGGACATTGCGTGCAGCTGTGCGTACTCCATGTTTGATGGATCACAAACCTACTTGGCGTAAGTACTTTTTTTTGCTGAGCTTAAGTGCGGTTTTAGTAAGGATTCTACGCAATGTTTGATAAATGAGACCCCAGGGCTATGGAGGTTCCAGTAGAGCGTGGCAAAACCATCCTTTTGAATCAACTGACTAATGGTCTAGGCTCAGTCAGACAGGTTCTTCGGTGGATTTGCCTACAACATTGGTCGTTAATGACAAAATCTCAACCTGCAGCATCATCTCATCTAGATAAATTTGTAAAAAAAAACTCCAAACGTTAAACCCAAGCTCTTGTCTGGTTGAATCATTATCTACTCTAGTGTGGACCATGCTTTTATTTGAGATGTTGGAGCTGATCTAAAGAAGCGTATAGGGTAAAAGTTTAAAAAGCACCAAAGTCATTAGTATTTAACCTGAGGCAGGAGTGTGAGCACAGATCTCCATCTCGAAGGAGGCGGTAATGCAACCAGCAGCATCCATAGCTCAGTCAATAACCATTAACTGTAATGTTATAGCCAATTTAGAAACAGTTAAAGAGTTTATCAGCTGTGCACTTGCCGTTACTTTCTGGCAGTAAATGTGCCGTTCTGGTGGTTTTAAGCAGGGTTCAGTGTGTTGTATCACCACATGCGGCTACCTGCAGACTGTGCTGTCAGTGTCTCATTAAGTGACAGAAGCTTTGTGTTTCTTTGCCTTCAGGCAGGAAGACTCTCTCCTTCCACCTCTTCTCCTCAGTGAGTCTCCCAACTCAGGCATCTGCCTCATTAACCACCATCAGCATTTTGTTTGCTGTGTGTTATTTGGATGCACTAAAAGGAAGGCAGGGGTCCATAAATGTGTGTGTGTGTGTGTGCATGTGCACACGCTGGTGTGCAAGCAAGCAACACTCATTAGGCTGCAAAAACATTGACATTGTTGCCAGAAAACCAGATCGTATCTTTTCCCACTTTATATATCAAAGACTTCCTCCAATCAACTCCCTGGAGCGTGTGTGTGTGTGTGTGTGTGTGTGTGTGTGTGTGTGTGTGTGTGTGTGTGTGATATTTATATTAATATATCCAGTGTGTGGTTGATAGTGGGAGACAGATGTTTGCTGATTCGACAGGTTTGTGCTGCAAACTCAGCCCTATTTAGCTGACAAAAAATGTGAAGCCACATGGATGCTCGTGATGACAGCCCACTCCTAATTTTTCCTCATCTTAATTCCAGCTTTTCCCTTTTCTCATGTTTTTCCTCCCAATTTTCTTCTTCATTTCTACTTTGTTTCTTGTTTCCTGTCGGATCCCAGCGCTGTGTGTCACTCCACCAGCAGCGCTCCAGCAGGGTGTTTGTCTACAGTTGGTTTCCTCCTTATAGGCACCTCTGACTCAGTCTTTATCTCCCAGAATTAAAAACACAAAGCACCTCAAACAGATTATTACATCTGCAGTGTATTAAATATACCTCATGGCCTAAAACCTCTACTTAAAAAGCAAAAATAAAGACAGAAACAGCTGAGTTTGGCATTTATTGCAATGCAATATGGCACTCATTACAATACCCCTTCGGTGTTTCTATTTTACAATGTACAAAGTCGATAAAAAAGGACCATAAATAAACAAAAAGGTTCAAGTAGCTAATTCTCAGCATCAAACAGGAGACGTATGTACAGACACAACAGCTCTAATCTAAACATCTACAGAAACAATAGTTCATACAATAGAAATTTAAGAAAATAAAAGAAGAATAAAAATACAATCAAATCATACCGTTTGTTAAAACAATCCTTACAAAAGCAGTAAGAGCTTCAGACGATACATTCTGTCCAGGGTCTCCCACTACGTCTTTTAATTTGCATAAGATTACCTAAAGATAGCCGACATCTTCACAGAGAACGTTCGTGTTGAATGCATTCATGCTACACACACACAGACGCGCGCACACACACGCATAAATTGGAATTAACAAAATGGAAAACGTTTAATTCAAGTGAAGCGTGAAGAAAACACCTTGGAAGCCATTCTGCTTATGCACGTGTCAGCCTTCACCAAACAGATATGAAAAAACAGAGCTGGAACCAGGATTAGGCGTTAGTCCTATCTGTGGCCACGCCCACTTCGCCCATGGTTTTAGAAAACTCCGCCGGACGGAAGTTCACAAAAGTGCTGCTTTTCATTCCCTCCTTTCTTCCTCCGCTGTGTTTTTATTTTCCTTCAGTTCTCAGATTTCCACTGGTGAGCAGTTCCTCTAAAGTGCACAGATGAGGTAAATGAAATCCTTCTGAAAAACGGGTTTGTAGCCGTTCTCCGGCTCAGACCGGAACCATCGAGTGTTGCATGTGTTGCATCTGAGACAACATTTCCTGCTGCACACTAGCAATGATTAAGTCCTGATGTGATGGCGTGATTATCCCAAGTCTGTCCAACTCCCTGTGGGTGCACAAACACACATCAGGTCAGATACGGTGACAGTGTGTCACATTTCACATTTCACTTCACATTTTGAAGGAAAACCTGCTATCTTTTATGCAACATGCCTTTACTTGTGTGCAAAAAAACCTTAAATATATTGTTTTTAAAATCCAAATATAAAGTTGCTGTATTGTTTAGAAAAGTTTATAAAGGATCTTTTACACTTAAATAGCATCAGCTCCCTTTTGTTAAATTCATTTTATTTCAGAGAGAGCCTGGACATCAGCACCACATGTCAGTGCTGCGTCAGTAAAATAAGTTCCTTCCACAATAAGCTGGACTTACTGGTGCGTGAGAGCCAGGAAACTGTCCAGGCTGGTGTATCCTGCAGTAGCGAGGACGTCTCTGTACATCTCCAGCCCAATGGACTGCAGCCACTCACACTCTGACCACTGTGGCACACACACCTCTGGTACAACGGACACACACACCTCCGAGCCCACCCTCGACTCTAACATTGCACCTGAAGGTCTGTTAATGCAGACAATGACACCATAAATACACACGTGACTCAGATTAAACTAGTAGATGTGGGAATGTGTGTGTGTTTGGTTTGAGTTGTGGATTATGTACCTGTCCCCTCCTGTGCGGCGCAGCGTTCCAGGGTTGCGGATGAGTTTATCCAACATGTTGAGTATCTGGCTAAAGGTGGGTCTCTCTGTTCGCTCTCTCTCCCAACAATCCAGCATGAGCTGGTGCAGCACCACAGGACAGTCCATGGGAGCAGGCAGCCGGTAGCCTTCTTCTATCGCTTTAATCACCTAAACAAGGGAAATATAAAGAAGTCACTTTTTAAACTGTTCAGATATAAAGGTTTGATTTCCTTTCATCAGCACTACATGTAGTGTGGCTTAACAGTTAGCATCACTGTGCTGTGGCTTGTCAAAATAAGAGCCAAAGTTCTCCATAACTGTCAGCTGATTTGATTTATTTATTCACATATAAACAACACACATAACAATATAGATAAGTTATGGTACAGAGAAAAAAACAAACAAAAACATAATAATAACATCATGTGATGGTGTATGACAGAAACCCACCTGGGTTTATTCTCATTGTCACACCCTATTTAAAAAAAATATGTATATATATGTATATATATATACATATATAAAATAAAATAATAATAATAATAAAGAAACAATTAAAACAGTTACGGTTGTTCATTTTTAAAGATCAACACAAAATGATACTCTGGTATTATCAATTGATTAGAAGATTTTGAACTTTTTATAAGGGAAATATTTATGATCATGCAAAGCCTAAAATGTACTGAGTTCACATTTTAAGGAGAATGTGGGGATCTGCATGCCGGCCATTTACATTCTCCAGTGGTGATTAAATTTGTAAGAGTATAAATTATTAAACAAATTATTTTAATCACACTAGAATCAACACAGGTAACCACAAATTGCCTAAAGTTAGGTTTTATTATGATAAGATGCTACGGGGTTCTGGAGTAGCTAGGGATAAAAATGGTATTTATAGGGGGAGCGTCCGTGACATGAAGTAAAACATCATAGAGAAAAAGCTAGCAGCTGCTGTGGGATCACTTTAAATATAACAACTGACATGGTTCATACACCGCCAGTGTGTTTTCCCCTCCTTCTGCCATCTGTACTTGCACTGTCTTTTTCTAATGTTAGTTTAGCCTTCCGAAGGGGTGGATGTGTGCTTTGTTTGGAAGGCAAGATCAAACGAAAACATGCTTGCAGAGCAGAAAGAGAAAAAACAATTTTAATATCAACCATGTTTTCTATCAATTACACAGTTTTTAAGTATTCTTTGTACCTAAAATTGGTGATAAAATACAAATTTGATCAACTGCACATTCATAACAGTGCATTAGGTAGATTGATCCTTTTTGCACCACCACACAATTTTATTTATTACAGAATTGCAATTGCAGTTAATCCAACTACTGGAGGATTACTAAGAAACTATGAGTTTGTAACTTATGCGTTTTAGGATTTTCCAAGTTCAAACAACTGCTGATGACTTGTTCTACTCTAGGCTGGAAGTACTCTCAAAAACATGTTCTTGACCTGTGGTGGTGGTTAGATACGTGTTTGTGCCAGTTTCACTGAGGAAATGCCACTTTCACTCAGGCATCATGCTACAATGTCCCAAAGAGGACCCATCATTATGTTACCTCTCCTTGTTAACAATGAACCAAACAAAAGCCACTCAACGGCTTCCCGGTGTGTGATCCCAGATTAGCATTCTGACATTCTGAAATGGGAGGCTGCTCAGGCGTGACATGTTGACATGAACCTCTTCCACCGTCAGTGGGAAGATACGCAAACAAAAACACAAAGTAAAACAATAGTTCTGCTCCCAGAAAAACAAAGAAATAATGACTATATATAGCTCACTAGGGGAATTAATTAGCTGCAGACGGAATCAGTCATGTAAAAAAGGCTTTGTGGCCGTTACCAAACAGATTTCTTGTGCAGCAAATTCACTATTTAAAATTACTTTTTCTCAGGTGTTTGCAACAGTAAAAAACATTAACACCTCTATATTTATTAAGAGATCGCCCTTGGCTGCTGAGTGAAACTGAGCAATAAACAGATCTATGAGGTCTACAGAAACACCGTTGGCTCATGAAACATTGGTTTGTTCACGAGGAGTTGTTTTCTTGAACCTTTACAAACCAAGTCAGAAGTGACTTTGGTTTATGCAAAGGTGCAAATGCAAGAGGACCTGAAAATGACTCACATCTTGGTTGTTCATGTCCCAGTAGGGTCTCTCTCCGTATGAAACCACCTCCCACATGACGATCCCATAACTCCACACATCGCTGGCTGTGGTGAACTTCCTGTAGGCTATAGCCTCTGGAGCCGTCCATCTGATGGGGATCTTCCCTCCAGGGGACAGATAGGAGCCTGTGGCTTCCTGAGACAGCAGAAAAGGTTCATTAAATAGCTGAATTTATTTTTAAACACATACTGTATCGACTCACTTTTACATTTATCCAGTTTGCAGAGGAAAGTCTGAAACGTCGCCTCTTAGGCTCTGTTTTTGCTAAGATGTCTGTGCATTTGACAAACCACACCATGAAACGTGGTTTCAATTAGTCACACATTTTTGGCAGCATTTAAGTACGTGTGAACTTGTGTGTGAAAACGGGACAGCGCAGCTTGTAAATATTTGTGTGCAGCAGAATAATGAATTTGCAGAGATGTGTGTCATAAAAACAAAGATATTTTGTGCACACTTCATAAAATTTCTCAGTCTTACCCTCGTTGTGTACGCCGCCTCGGGGTCGTCCTCCAGAACTCGACTCAGGCCGAAGTCCGACACCTTACACACCAAGTTGCTGTTGACCAGGATGTTTCGGGCAGCCAGGTCTCTGTGAACGTAGCTCATGTCTGACAGGTACTTCATACCTGAGGCGATGCCGCGCAGCATGCCCACCAGCTGGATCACCGTGAACTGGCCGTCGTGTTTCTGAATCAATACAATAAAAAAGCTGGTTAAAAGCAAAAAATTAAATAAATCGTCAAGTAGTTTTGTTACTCACTCGAAGGAATGCATCAAGAGACCCATTTTCCATGTATTCAGTAATGATCATCAACGGTTTGCCTGAATAAGGAACAAAGTGTAAAAATCTGATAGACCACTCATGATTTAAACCCAAAACCAACTCCCTCTGCTCACATCGCGTGACGACGCCCTCCAGCCTGATGATGTTGGGGTGGTCAAACTGTCCCATGATGGACGCCTCGGACAGGAAGTCCCTCCTCTGTTTGTCAGAGTACCCCACCTTCAGACTCTTGATGGCCACGTAGATCTCCCTCTTCCCCTGCATGCGCAACCGGCCACTGCACACCTCTCCAAATTCTCCTACGCACACAGCAACCGTTAGCGCCAGGCAAGCATGTGTGTGTGTGGGTTGTGTGAGTGCCAAAGCTGGCCTTACCTATGCCAATAACCTTCTCGATATGAATACTGCTGACATCAATCTCTTTGGCGAACTCGTGGATGGCCTGATCCGGGTCTTCATATGTAAACGGATCCACGTAGATTTTGACTCCTGCCATGAAAGAGAGGTGGGAGCGGACAGGAAGTGAAGATTGGAAAGGAGGAATGAAGAGGAGGGTGAGAAACAGAAATTGTTTAACTGCATATGTTATGTAAGTGTCTTTGAAAGGAGGTGTGAAGAAGGATCTGATGGAGGAGATGGTACAAGAACGTGTTCATTACCGGGGTTTAGATGCTTCTCCTCCTCCGAGTCCTGCTTTGTTTTACTGTACTTGCTCCTCCTGATGAGACACAAATAATGAACGTTTAAACAGATGCATAAAAAAAACTGTCACAGCTTCATTCATTCATCTGGTTTTTATCTTTGGGCTTTTCCTTAGTTGGGTTGTTTTTGTGGATTTGCTGCAACAGAAGGCAACGGCAGCAAGAACAGAGACTGCAGGAAGCTCAGAACGACCAGATGAAAGGAAGGAGGGGCGATGCCTCAGGTAGCGAGAGATAAAAGATGTTTTCTATTAAACAAAGAAACTGCCAAAAGCACCTTTGTGTCTGAGCAGGTGTTAGTGTGTGTGTGTTTGCGTGTATGGCTGTGGGCATTTGCGCATGCTTGTGAGTGTGCACGCCAACTGAAACTGACACAAAAGCTGCTGAAGACATAAATGACAAATCAGGGGAAAAGGATTATCACTGTCTCCCCTCTAGTCTCCCTTAAAAAAGCTTCAGGTAACACACACATTATGTCACAAACCCATCTTGTCTGGTGTGTGTGTGTGTGTGTGTGTGTTTACCTGCGGCTAATGATGAAAACTGCAGCAGAAATGAGGAGTAAAATTCCAACGGCGCTGATGGACAACAGCAGGAAGGCGGAGTTAACACCTTCACCAATCAGAGGGAAGGGATCTAGAATGAAAGGGGAAATGAGGTTACAGTTATTTTAGTAATGATACCTTTTGACATCAGAACTTTGATTTAGTAATGCCTTATTTAATGATTACAAAAACAGCTAAAGGATTTGCATAAAGACGAAGTTCACTTGTTTTTTTCAACGAATCGGCAGTGCTTTCCAGTAAAAATGACTGCTTTGTGAGTCGACCTCTGTTGAAAAAAAAGCTCTCGCGCTCCTGTTTCAGGAACTAGAAGTGAGTCACAGCAGAGGTGAGCTCCAGACGGCAGGATTTGGACTCTTATTTCCTGATAATTGGACATCTTGCCTCTGATTGGCTGACAGCAACACAACTTTATCACTGACTTGTCTGCTTTGCAACGTAGATGTTTTATCTCCACAAGTAACACAAGCTTGAAGGAGTTCTGCCGTGTGGTGCAGTTGCTAATGCTAACGGTTAGCTTCTACTAGCATAGATGTGCTCTGCTCTCTCCTGGATGCTAAATCATCAACAGCATTCCCCCTTGCGAGTCAGGATGGCTGAGTTCATGAATGTGCTTGATGTGCTAACGTCCCTAGTTTTTTGAATCCGAGCATTTTCTGTTTTTGTTGGCAGCCAATGCAGGAAATAGCGGTTGAAAACAATGTTCATGTTTAGCCTGCATGTAGAACTCAGTAAAAACAGTTTCAAGGTGAATTTGGTATTTAAAGAGTAAGTAACCCCCCTACAACAGTCTCACTCCATGTCCTGTTTGAAAAATGCGAAAAGAAAAAGAAAATGCGACAAAATAAACGTAAAAAATACCCGTTTAGCCAAAAGCCATGGCAGATGTGGCTGACTTCAATTAAATATGGAGAAGACTTTTAAGCTGAAGATGGCAATCTATTAATATTTCAAAATAAGAAGCACTAAAATGCCTAAATAATAACCACACATGTCTACAGCACTATTAAACACTCATTAATAGTTATTCAGCAAAAAAAGTTGCTGTGGGGGTGACTTGCTCTTTAAGTTTTGCTGCGTAATCAGGCTAATTAAGGGCAGCAGCATACACAAGGTATTTTAAGCATTCAGACTCAGTACCAACATTTTGCTTAACAAACATTGTAAAGTATTAATGTGTGATTTCACTGAGGGGTAAGGTAGTTAATAACTGAAGCTAACAGCATTTTTACGTCCAAAGCAGCCTTATTGGATTTTACAAACTGAACTGTTATGCCACCTCAAAGGTTTTGAGAGAAATTTTAGTAAATCTAGGAAATCAGAACATCCAACCACAAATGAAATGCACCTTACACAGATTCACCTTTTACCTGAATTAGTGGAGAATTCAAATGGAGTGCTATAATCTCCATATCCGGCGGCTGTGCGAGCACGCACGTGGAACACGTAAACCGTGAGGGGGTTGAGACTTGTGACGTCGACACTCCGCTGGAAAGTCCTCATTATGCGGTATGACCTCTCTCTCTGATCCTAGGTAGACGGGTCAAAGTGAGGAGTCTCGTTTGAACGCCTGATAGAAATTCCACCTTCACTATGAGAAAAACACTAGCAACTCGCTCACATGTTGGCATTCACAGAGCTGCCTGAGCCGCACTGACCTGCGGGCTCCTCACCTTTTCATAGAACTTGACCTCGTATTCCAGGATGACCCCATTTGGTCTCTCCGGCTGTTGCCATGACAATGACAAACTGTGCCTGGTGACATCTGTGACTTGGATTGTTGACACTGGTGATGGAGCTGAGGAGCAGAGATTAGACGGTGTGAACTAGGGCTGCTCAATTAATCGAATTTTAATCATGATTACGATCTGAGTTTTGAACGATTATAAAAAACATAACAAGCCGATTATTTGCTCCTCCCGCTTGCGCTGCCCTAAGTTGCAAATGAAGCGCTCCTCACAGTGTTGCCAACTTAGCGACTTTGACGCTATTTCTAGCAGCTTTTCAGACCCCCTTCTTGACTTTTTAATCCTAAAAGTACCTAGCGAACATCTCAGAAACATCTCTGGTAACCCTTAGCTACTTTCTGGATAACTGTCGTCGACATTTCCTGCAGGTTAGCTAAACACTCCGCCTGTGCTCCGGACCGTTCTTCACAACATTAGGAAAGGGAATGATGTAGTGATGTGTTGGTCGCTAAAGAAACGGCTCTCGGAGCCGGCTCCTTGTTGGATTAACCAGAGTGAGTGACACACACACCGCACCTGCGGTCTCCTGAGCAGCTAAAAACAGCTAAATGTGCGCGTGCGGCGTGCTAAACACACGTGCAGCTTGCCCGATTGTGTGAGACCGGGGTGGGGGGGTGGGTGGTGCAGCTGTGGTTGGGACAATTATTACATTAACTGATGGGCCTGTAAATAAATAGTTTATAAATAAGGTAGAAATAAGTTCCTCACGCTGATAACTAATAACTAATCTCTCTGAGGACACGGTGCTAGTGCACGCTCCTACAGCACCTTGACACGACTCAATAAATGTTATGTAACATTTTGTGAACATCAGTTTATTTGCATTTATTTGTTATAAATGCCACTCTATAATTCTTGCTGTCAGTATTTGCCAGATATTGGTATTTGGGTCTGTACTGGTTAGACTTACATGAGTTAAACCAAGGTCTATAGCCCTTGGGTCATAGACTATGAGCTATAAGTATATTGGTCCTTTTATCCTGGGAATCAGGAGTTCTTTTAGTGATCATCTTGTTTCTTATTTTTGTCCTGATTGTGCCCTGAGCAATTTTATGACTGAATAAAAACAAATAAAATCAACATAAATTGAAAAATCGTCCTAAATAATCGTGATCTCAATTTCAGTCACCATAATCGTGATTATTATTTTTGCCATAATCGAGCAGCCCTAGTGTGACCTGTATGAAGTGATGAACTGGACGTGCTACAATGCTGCTTGGACGATGACAACATGACAGCTGAGCATTGTGCCTCTTTGTCAACAATCTCTTTAACCCAGTCCACCTGAGAAATGACCTACATCTAATTCCCTCCTAATCCGCAGGGACAACCCTCCTCCTCCTCCAACAACCCACCATTTCCTCTTATTTTTGTCTGCATTTGATTTCTGAACATATGGTGGTGCAGGCTGGACTTGACACTTCCCAGGCGCGCTCCCACGGCCTGCACACACGGCAGCTTATTTCCCCGGAGCACCTGGAGCCAAGCAGGTGTGTTGGTATCTAAACACCACCCTTAAAACTTAAACCAACGACTGTTGAGATGTAACAGCATGCAGGAAAAGAGGAAATAAAACAGAAAGCACACACTAAAAGCTAATGGAGGGAATGCTCAACGAGCGCCGCGCAGCAGCTGACTATTTCACAAGTAAAATGAAACACTTCATAAAACGTGGGCGAGTTTTCAAATACTTGTGCGGATGAGAAAAACTTGTCAAGTCTTAACAATGTACTGTTCTGCTATTTTTCTACTGATTTTTTCCTTTTATTCTTTCTATTTCTCCCTACTAGCTAACGATTTGTATAAAAGTCAGCGATTTACAGTTTTTTGAATACATTGATGTGCTTTTGAGAAAAGCCCTGTAATTAATTCACTTGCTGTTAGGTGTTGGAGGACAGAGTAATAACTATGGCAACTACGACGGCGATAGTAGGAGCCAACAGTTTCTGATGGGGAGAAAAAGAGCAAAACAAAAGCAAATGCACAGTTGATACCAAAGCAAAGAGACTGAACTAAAGCAAAGGGCTATTTATAATCAGCTGCTCTCTTTAGCGGGAGGATTTTATTTTTATTCTTTTTCATTTCATGAAAGCTAATTTGCTGAATTTGTATGGAAAATACGGTAACGCCGTCTTGTTGGATAAGCGCATTCACCATGCACACATGTCCAGATCTTGTGCATTTCACGCTACAGCAGTCTTGACCGTTACTCGTGGGACCGAGCCTCCCTGCGGGGCCTCGTGCTCGGAGCAGCAGTGAGTGTTCAGCTGACCCACTTTCAGAACTCTTCTACAAGCAGATTTTGTGTTAACTGAGTCAACAATCGGACACATTTATCACACGCAGCACTTCTCCTCCTCCTCACCTGCTTGGTTGGTGGTGACGCTGACGGATGCGCTCTGCGATGCCCCTGCTCCACTGACCTGGGAAACCCCATTGCGCGAGTGGACAATGAAGGTGTAGTGTGTGTGGGCCCTGAGCTTGCTCACCACCACCCTGGTGGTCTGCAGGCCCGTCTGGTCCGGAGAGAAGAGCACGTCCGAGCCGCAGGGCAGACAAAGCTGAGAGCTGATGTCAGAACCGGGCCAGCTCTGGAGAACCCCTCTGCCCAGCTGCACTTCAGGTCCCACAATCCCTTGGTCTGACTGCATCCCTACTCCGCCATGTTGAAGCTGAGGCTGGGAAACGGTGCGGTTCCTCGGAGCGGCCCGACCGTCGGCTGGAGCGCGGCTTCCGCTTTGACAGATGAGACACTCCAGACTGTAACTGGTGTCGCTTCTCCCTCCGAGCCGACGAGGGGGGGCCCACTCCAACACCACCGAAGTCTCGTTCACCACAGAGATGAGCTGCTGGGGTGCGGATGGTGGTTCTGAAGAAAAAGGTGGTCCAAATAAACATCAACTCTCCATAAACCGTAAGGGAAAGTGGAAGAAAAAAGAAAGTGGAGGGTTTGTTTTAATTTTGCTTTGGCATGCAGACGTCTGGCATGAAATCAGAAACCATATGGTGCTGAGACGGTTTTGATGGTTTGGTTAGTTTCTTCTGTCGTATTTATTTATTTTGTGAGAGATTGTGTGCATGTGTGCATGTGTGTGTGTGTGCGTGTGTGTGTGTTTCCCTGTCTCCCAGGCCAGAGGAAACCATGTGCTGCGTATGAGGATAATTAAGTTTAAGACACACACAGCATGGTCTCCGAATCCCTCGCACAGACTCCCAAAAAGAGTGAGGACATTTATTTGCTCCTCAATGTCTTCAGTTATCGCCGACAGACAGGATGTAGATGGAGGCTTAGTCATAAGTAATGGGATCGTGAAACAGGGGTGGCATTCAGACACGTTTGTGTCACCTTCTGTTGGGAGGAGATAGAGAGTTTGGGGAACAATGACCGTGCTCTTGCCTTTTATTTGTGAAAAATGCACACAATCATTGTTGGGTTTTTGTGTCTGTGCATGCGTGAGTCTGTGCTCTTACGGGTACAGGCCATGGACGAAGGGTCAGCGTCACCACGGAAGAATCCCGTGTGGCAGTCGCACACATTGGCCCCGTCTCTGAGCGAATGGCTGTGCAGAGGACACTTGGAGCACTCGGCATCTGAAGCCTTGGCCTTATAAAAACCAGCAGAACAGGCTGCAGAGGGATGGAAACACAAAGACACAAGCAAGAAATATCAAAAATGAGATATCTGGGATGAGGAGACAGCATGTTACCTCAAACATTGAGTTAAAGACTTATTTCAATACACAAAAACTATTTTAACTTGCATTTGGAGCCCTACTTGTATGTGCGCAGGGACAAAGTTGAAAACAATGGATTCATTCATTCATTCATTATACGAACATTGATAAAGTTTGTGTCTGCATGCATTAAATCAATACATTTCCAGTGGTCTCTAGTAGGAATGAATGCCTTGTAACCCCTGCTTGACACTGGAGGCATCAGCGACAACAGAACGATTCACTCGCGACCTTTGCTGTGTGCACACACACACACACTGGGAGAACCTCAGCCATGCTCGCAAGATCACAAAATCCCTCGAGACTTCAAAGGCCACAGTTTGTTTATGCTGACCGCCAGTAAACCAAAAACAAGGAATCATGTTTGATATCATATATGTTTCTCTCCGCTGCCAGGATGAAAGCCATGGAAACCACACGCTGCACTTGTCACTTGTGTTGATGTAATCTATGAAATCGCATCGCTGCAATAGTCTTTTATTTAGAAAATTACTTTGAAACCATATGTGTTTTCCTGTCTAGCTCTATGTTAACTGCAGAAATTGTCATGTCCCAGAAGCGGCGGTGAGTTGGAGATGATGTTTGAATTGGGTTGACCTCAGGGGTGTCCATGAATGTGGCGATACAACAAATAGATGACGTTTGCAGTTTTTAAGACTGAATTAAAAATTATAATAAGTGGTTTTGGCTTGCTATTAGCCCTAGTGCTCGTTAGTAAAATCAGCTGAAATGTCTCCTCAGCCTCCATCAGGAGCGGTTCATCACTAAATCACACAAATCAACTGTGTTCATGATCTAAAACATGCAGGAAACATGCTGGAAGCTGACTGCAGCGCCAGGCATGCCAACTCCACTTGAATAGGTCCAACAGGGACCAGACTGGCAACTCCAAAGTTGCAAGTGCATTATTTTGGCCACAGAAGGCGGTGGAGGTCTGAGTGACTTTTGATTTGTCATTTTAGCTCAAGAAAATGATTTACAAATATTGCATAGTATGGCTTTAACAGGGAATCCCAGGCCAGACACTTCCAAGACATATCCAGTGATTCCGCGAGATCTCTTTGTTCCATCACAAACGAAGGTGGTTTAAAGCTGCTGCCACCTAGCTGTTGGAGATTGAACTGCACCACACAAAAAATACAGTAAACGCTTGCATGCAAATTCTCAATAAAAAACAACAACGATACACTGGTTTTAATAATCACTTCGGTATCATAACATGAAATATCGCAAACTGTCAGTGTATTGATATTTTTACATGCCTAGTTGTTAAAAAAGCAGCAGCAGAACATATTTTTTATGGACAAACAAGGTGGATTTCAACAGTGATTGAAGGAGTGCTCAGAGTATATGATGAGGATGGCTCTCAGCCAACACAGCACCAAGTTCTACCTCGACATCTGCAAAACAGACCAAGTTATAGAATTGTCTGAATTTGCTAAATCCAGTTAGCTGTGGCAGCCACTCGAACACGTAATTACTTTATAAAAAAATCATCCAGTGGTCCTCGAAATATTTTTCTGTGAATGGTTGCCAACAGAGCTTACAGAGAACAATGTAGCTTTAACCAAAACGGTTTAAGGAACTGTATTTTATTGATCTTCTCAGACCAAGTTCAGCATCCTGATGCAGATTCTGAGCAGTCAGCACTGAAATAAGGCCACCGACTCTTGACACAGTCATCGTGATCTCATGCATTGATCGCCTGCGGAGTCTGGACAGTAAGTTACTCAGCATCTAGCTTGAAAGCTCAAGGACAAACAACTGTAAAAAAAAAAAAAAAAGAAAGCTAGACACAAAGCTAAAGCGAGGGGGGGGAGGGCCACACTGACTTCTTTTATCTTGAATTTTGATGAGCAAAGAAAGAAACACCTAAAAGAACATCTACTGATCAGCTCCCACTCACACACGCAGAACAGAAACACTGGAACCGAATACATCAAAAACTCCACACAGCACCGACAGCCCACACACAAACATTACTGACATTTAAATGTATGAAAGGAGAGAAACAGAGAAAGAGATGGATGGAGAGAGGGGAGTAGAGGAGAGAAGGAGGGAGGGAAATCTTCTCTCTGTATCCCGAGGAGTTCACGCATTGACAGAGCAACAATACAATAAATGAGTGCATAATTATACTGCTTGACATCCACTGGTGGAGCAGAAAGAGATGGCGACGCGCGGTGGGTTCAAGCAGTTTTTATTTGTGTTTAATTTGTGCAGAAAATCCCTCGTTTGTTTCTACCGCACGTCTTTCCAGCACCTTCTTTTTCATCATCACGTCCTATTCACTCTCAATCCCAGCACATAGTCCCAGTTCCATCTCTCTTCTGGTTTATTTTCCTCCTCAACCCCTTTCACGTTTCCAATGCACTTCCCAGTGGGAGCAAACAGGAATGTTGGAATGCTGCTCGAAAGTGTCAGGGTGCTTTATGATGCTCTCAGTAAATGACAGGGAGGAAGTCTCCTCTGTAATCTCCTCAGACCAACCATCGTGCCCCATCTGCGTGAGCCTCTGCAGATTTGCTCTTTCACACACTTGATCGCCCTCCCTTCTCACACTCGCTGCTTTTGCACTTCCTCTTCGACCTCCACTTATCGCTCTCTGTGTCTCTGATAACTCTCACGCTCTGCCCGTGTCTCCACATAACCCTCTCCTCCCGCATCGTCGGAGGGGAAAGCTTTGAAGCTTCGTCCGTGGCTCCCTCTCGATACCAGCTCCTAAACGAGCCTCCCACAGCCGGACCGAAACCTGTAAATTCATAAACACGTTTACAGCTGATAAGAGCGGCTTTCATCTAGTGAATGATTCGTCATATTGTGTCAGGTGGTGGAAACAGGTGCGAGATAAAACAGTATTTTTATTGTCCAGCTGTTAAGCACATTCCTTTGTTTGCAGGGAAGAAGCCACAGTTGGAGGAGAGAGGGAAACACTCGGGGATGTGTTTAAGCTGTCGAGGACTTTGAGGTTGATTACAAGACCGGAGAAGAACGCCAGGGGCTAACATGCTGCCTTTGTCTCTGTCCCCTCTCCCTCTGACTCTGAAGGATTAAAAGACAGAAACGGTGTTTGAAACCGTAAACTTCTGTCAGAGCCCTCTCACGTCTCCTCTCTTTTTGTTTTCTGTAGCCTTTTGTGTCTTCTTTAGCACCGGTTTTGACAGGGGGGGGGGGGTTAATGTTGCTGACCTGGAATAAGAGCGCATGAGGGTGTCATTAGCCTGACATTAACCCTATGCTACCGAGGGCCGTGCAAGTTCGACAACTGAAGCTGGACTGATGGGGACAGAGACGAGGCGAGGATCTGACTAGAATATTCCACCTGTCAGAAAAAGGATGTTAATAACACTGAAATCAGCTGTTCGCAGACTGATGAAGGAACTGGATGAGACCACGCCAAGGGGGAGAGAAATATAAGACAGATGAGAATTGGGAGATGAGGGAGGAGGGAGAGACACGGAGGAGAAGGTGCCCTTTGATTATTATCAGCATTGTCTGCATTTGCATATGCATTCTTCTGCTACCTAAAATGCTAATGCAGCTCATTGGAAATCCGACTAAGAGCCTCATCGGCACACTGTAGCCACGGATATGTGTGCGGATTCTCCTTGACCCCATGTTATCTGTCATCATCCCTTGTTCCTTCCCAGCAGAGGGGTGGAAACGGAGGAAGTACCCCTGACTGCTTGGGTCTGACACCTGTCTGTGTGATGGATGGGGACACGGATGGATTGATGGATGGAGG